CATTAACAACTTCTGATTTTACAAAGTTCCACTGTAGACAGAATGCCACATGAATTTCAAGTGCAACCTTATTTTCCAGAACAGAATACTTTCTGCACTGCTCCCTTATTTTATTGACAAAAAGCTTTGACAGAAAAGCCAAAGTCTTAGCACATCTGCCTCCCCTCCCCAATCAAGACTAGTGGTACATACTCTTGCTTCTTGTAGTATAAGAAAGGTCTCTGTAACACCAACTACCAGTCCTCCAATTTTGACACAAAGTTAAGTATCACTGGCAACACAAAGGAATCCATCACACGCCATAAAATGCCTGTTACACAGTAGCCCTGCTCTAAGTTAGTTTCCTGAATATGAAGAAACACACAAAAATTACCAGGTATCTTTCAGTCTTTTACAAAAGCCTCCTGAACAGTTAACATGAGGAAGCATGCTGAGTATAAAGAATACAATTCTTTTTATAAACTTCTTTTAATTATCAAAGTGCAGGGAGAGCTCTTTTGAGGACCAAAAAAGTCCCAGTTCTGAAATTATTGTATCATTAACTCACATGAGTAACCCATTTGAAATAAGTGCAATTTCCTGTACATTAAAACCTCAACATAAGCCAGTGTTTATATTTGAAGCCCACCACTGTGGCTTTCTAGGATACTTTAGGAATACTTCATACATTATAGAGGGCACAGAACAACTGCCTGCGAAGTCCTGAAGTACTTGTTACAACCTTTCACACACAGCACAACTAAATTGCGGTGTGAGAAAGTAAGGCCCTATGTCTTTCCAGACACAAAAGATTCCTCCTACTCTTTTGCAATATTCTATTTTTGCTACATAAAACACAAAACTTCCCAATTTCTACTGCGTAAGTTATGGTTCACAATGGTTACATGAGTGCCTTTTTTAAAACACAGAGTACATCCAGTTTTAGTACGAAAAGTACATATTATCAAGATAAAGCTGTGTATGCTTTGATTAGTCCTGGTATTCATATGCTGCAAGATAAAGGTCTCAACCTCACTACAGAATGTCTAGTGATCTAAAAAAAAGGTATCAGTGGTTTGAACTGAATGCCTCGTTCATTACGTGGTTAGTTCTGTGTACAAATAAATAACCCTTTTAAAAGGTTATCAGCTGTCTAGGCATTAGCTAGGAGTGTGTTTAATATTAAAATCTTATCCCTTTGAAGAACTACTGTGTGCAAATACACTCACTTTCTGTATATACCCAACTTGTCAAAAGCTTCACAGGTAATCTCTTTTCATCCATTCTGGTTTAGAAGGGAAAATAAAGTCTTCTCCCATCAGTTGCAGTTATCTGTAGACAGTAACATTTTCAAGTCTTTCATAGCAGATTCTAACTCCGATTTAGCAGCAGGGTATTTTTCAGCAAAAGCAGAAGATACTTCTTTCCAGCAGAGAAGCAAGAGTATACTAGAGTCAGCCATATCACCTGAATTGAATTGTTAATTTATGAAGGATATCACTGCACATCAGAGCCCAGTAGCTGTTTGGGGCAAAATCTGCTCCCACTCAGACCTGGTGCAAACCCCATTCTACCTTCAAATGCTACCTGAGGACACAGAATTTCAGTAGTAATTCTGTCTATGGGTGGAGAGATATTAATAATTCAGTTCCTCTCTTAAGAGATTATATTAAAAAATATGCTATGTTTTACAGCAGTCCATTATCAGTCCTTTCTGTTGTAATAACTAGGAAAAGATTGAATTATTCTAACATACACTTCTGAATACTATGACTTAGGTCTCATAAGGTAGCAAACAAACTATGAACTGAATTGAAAGACACTTACCTGAAGTCACGATCACTAACACACTCCTCCAAGTATTTCAAAAAACATGGAGGACCAGGATAAATACATATACTTTGTAAAGGTTTATTGAACTTAAGTAGAATACTGCTGCTAAATAAAAAGGAAATCTGAGAAAAACAGAAATAAAACTCCAGAACAGAGACACTGCTGTTGGCATAATGAAATGGGAATGTGAAGGTACACAGCCTGAACAAGTTCAATAATTAGACAGTTCTCAGGAATAAGCAGCAATGTTTCTGACAGGGATGACTCCACCCTAAAGTGTGTCTCAAAATAACCTCATTAACCGTTTAAATTCCAATATCGGTGACTACCAGAAATAATGAAGGATTTGGACAAAGCTTGCCTGTCACTTTACGAAACAAAACAGTTATTGAGTAAAAATGTATCTTGCTTTTATTTCAAGCATTGCTCAGTATCACAGGTAGACCATTCCTAGGATGCTGCAGCAAATGCTTAACTTTGACAGTTCTACAAACTCATACTGCAGACAATCAGAAAATCATCTCTGATTAGAGGTTTGCCCTGGAAATTCTTGCAAACTGTGGAATTTAGTCTAGAAAACTTGGGGAGATCCATGCAGATCCCAGGCAGACATTCTCCCTCACCTCTCCAGGAGAATGTTTTCTCTTTCCTCAGCTCTCTCTCTCTAGACTGGAGAAAAGAAAGAGATCCATTGTGAAGATCAGAGCAACTTAGTTATCAGGTCTCTTTTTTCAGACTTAGTGCAGAAGCTACTGGAAATTTCCTTCCCTACCAGATTTTCCTCCATCCAGTAACTTCAGCATCTGTACACACTGCTGGACAGTTTTCACTTCAGGTAAAGTACTGAGGTAAACAGAACCATGAAGAAAAAAGTTTTTATTGAGCTTTGTGCTTACTCTTCCCCTTAACAGGATTCTTGAGTCTCCAGACGTACAATTTACTGTGAGCTTTAGTTGAACAAGGGTAATACCCTGGCTTGATGAGTACTGTAGGAGCTAAACTGGTTAGAAGAAGCAAACAGCTGAAGTTACATATTCGCACTGCAAATCCATATCACTAAGATAGCAGCTTCTGATGCAGAGGGTGAGTCTCCCCAAGAAAACATATTTACCAACAAATTATATCCTTACTAGCTTTTGTATGCTACTACTGCCATTTGAAGTTTTACTTCCCACAGTTACCTGCAGATCCACTGAAGAACAGTAAAGAAGACTTACGTTTTTCTAGTTTACAGTACCTACAGAACAAAACAGAGTCAATTAGGAGTCAGAGCCAAGAGATTCAATTCACTGGGGAGAAAACCCACTTTCGTCACACTTAAGAGCTCTAATACCCGTGTGAAAAAACTAGGACAGGAGCCCAGAGGTCAGCTTTCTCTGTTTGGCTCTGTCATCTTCTGCCCACTTGTTTCAAGAGAGCTACCTCTGTATTTCAGGTTGCCTTCTCCCATTTATTTCTAACAGGTAGGGAAAATAGCCACCTACCTCAAAGAGCCAAAAATTAGTCAACATTGGAAAGCACCAACCTACTCACAGACAACTGTGAAACAGAAGTTTCAAGAAGCTCAGACACAGCCTTTTTTTCAAAGCAGAAGTCTCAGCTCTGAGGTCTGAAACAGCTCTTTTCCTGTTCTTTTTGCAAGCTCATATGCTACAATTCTAATGGCATGTGAAAGACGTCTTGACCTTTAGGGCAAGAGACTGTAATAGCAGATTGCAGACACTGTTTCCTCATTAATAACATAAAAATGCCAAGAGTGACCTTAACCTGTTTCTTGCTTGAGGAGTCACACCTCCACCAAAGACCTGCGAGTAAGTGAGCACACTCCTTTGCAAGTTAAGAAAGATTTACTATCAAAAGCATCTATGTCAAAAGCAGCCTCAAAAGTAGACATACACGACAGCACAAACCCAAGGCACCAAAAACTTCAGGCCTCACTACTGGCTTCCCTGCTAGCTGTCCCCTGACAAAGAAATAACCCATCAAATTCAACTGGCAACTAAAGGTGCACAATCATCAGATCTTTTATTTTACTCTTTAGAGAAAGACTTATGAAATAGATCATCTCATGTGGAAACAAAGAGCCAGACTTCTCAGCAATGAAACACTCTCTACTGAATAAAAAAATATTTAAAGGAAGTCACACAATCCATCGTCTAACAGATCATGTCTGAAAACAAGAACACCAAAGCGTCTTGACTGTTTTACCATAGAAAACATCTTACCTCTTACAAGCATATACAAGTGTCCAGTAAAACAAACACCTGTCCCATGACCACAAAACTGACTCCTCATGACAATTAACTGTGAAACCTTAAAGATCCTCTTAACAAGGCTCCTTAAATTTAATAGAGTTGTTTTAAGGGAAATAAGGATCTAATCAAGATTACTGGATTTATCTGGTTTGCATACATACTTTCACCTTTCAGTACTCAAATATTTACACTTAGATGCTTATTTCTACCTCCACACTATCTGTTTGAAACTTTCATCCTTTTATAGGCAAAAGACAAAAAAAGCTTCAGAGCTTGTCTTCCTCAAACCCAAACATACTAGCCCCATTTTCACCCAGGAAAAATTTTTTGATTCTCTACTCTTACCCTCTGAATCTCAGTAAGGCATTGAAATTCACTTATAACTACAACCAGTCCAATAAAAATGAACCTCCAGCACTCTCCTGTACATGAATCCCAGATACCAATATACTCAAATCCTTTGGTAAGTTTAGGCCCTCGATTTTTTTAAAACAGGATTTTTACTGCGGCACACAACAGTGACCACTTTATTCTGCTTCCTTCGCACACATTTAAAAGAAAAAAACCTTAACAAATTTAAGTCGGGGGGCGGGAGGGAACAAAGCGCAGAAAGGAGAAGTCCCGAAGCAAACCGCAAGTAGAAGTCCTCAGATTGGACAAGGCTGCCCCGTGCCCCTTCCCAAGTTTAAGTGCCACTATTACGATGAAACAACTGTAAAGAACCCTTCGGCAGGGGACCAGGGGCGCTCTGCTATCCCTCCATGACAGCACGAATGAAAAGTTTCCCCGTCCTTCCCGGCCCGCCGCGCCTGGGGCTGACCCCCGGGGAAGGCCCTGCCGCCACCCGGGCCC